CTATATACATTTCACTCCCGCTATTATATTGGCAAATTCTACTAATATTATAAATTCTATATTTTGTGCCGAAATATGTTTGTTTAAAAAAAAAATTGGTATACGAATAACTCGAAGCCTGAACTTACATATCGATTAATTTGTATCTCTCCCAGTGTAAATGATTTTAAGGTGGTTCCTCTTTAAAGTTAAGATCATGAATTATTATTATTTAAACGCAACCAGATCAAAACGGTATATATTAATAATTATTGCTTAATATAAGGTAATTTAAGTCGACTCGTTTTAGAGGATTATGCAAACCGAGCACTCGTTTTCTGCTTACAACATGGGATAAAAAAATTCCAGCTTTTTATTATGCAAATACATTGGCCCAAGGGCAATAAAATTTAATACCATTCGAATGAATTATTCAATGAATAATCAGCAGTAACCTCATTGACAAAAAAAACTGAACGCAACCGTGTTTTGAAGCCTGAATAGAATTTCAAATCAAATGTTGACGTTGCCGTTAGAAAGTATAATGTTTACATTAATGTTTACCTCGGAGTAGACTTAGATTTCTTGGATTCTATCATTTCTACTGTTAGGTTTTAATCGTATTTATTGATGTCGCAACTCATAATGATTGATGAAACCTCATTTCCATAAAGTAAAGCGGAAGATAGTATTTATTATTATATAGTAAAACATCCAGAGGTCGGAACACAACTATACCTCGACTTGATATACATGGTAGTATATTACGGGTGTACTCAACGTGATTTATATGACACGTGTGTATGCGGTCTCCCCCTTGCCTCCCTCCCCCTCTGGTGACGTCACCGCTGTCACATGCAGCCGTCCCTCGAAATGAAAGCACGTTTTATCAGCTTCCATTGCGGCCCTATTATTCCGAAAGATAACCGTACCTCTATTCAACAGACAAAGAAATGGTATGTCCTGTTTAATTAAATCGCTTGTTATTTTGTATATTCTTATTTGGAAAAGCGAATTTGTTTCGCTTGTGACGTCACAATAATTTTATTAGAAGCGCATGCTTGTTAAAAATAATCATCGTTACACAAAAATACATAAGCCTTGTGATTTAGCATTGTGGCTATAATTATTCAACCCTTCGAATGCGACCCAGAAGAAGGTCTGACGTGACGTGTAGACAGAGAAAGGCCGACCTTTTTCACTTCAATAAATCAAAAAAGCACTTTATCGTGATGACTCATGGTGACATCGTTGATAGTCAAATATTTAATGGATGATCTAGTTTTAGCTACATTTATAACTTTAAGCTGTTTGTTTATTGTCTCTACATTTCATATTAGTTTCAAATTTCAAATATTTGTAAGTAATGTTTCTTATCCCAGAGAGTCTATAAAAGTATCTCACGACATTTATTATAACAGGGGAAATGGTGCAGGTGAAATGTGAACTGTGAATACACTTAGTATGAAGAATCGTCGAGTCGTCGAGAGAATGCAATTTTTGATATTGAAAATATTAGTTACTTTTAGTAGCACTAAGTAATCAGTAAAATACGATATAAATTTGATTAAAAAAATTAAGTTACAGGTAATGAAAGGTAAAATTTAATAATGAAAGTTTTCATAGCCTTTTGACCTTTAATGTGAGGTCCAAGTGACATTTCAAAAAAGTATTTAATATAAAAATGATAACAGACTAGTGGTGATCAAGGTAAAGATTGAAATACTAGGCTTAAAAAATGGAACACATCCATAAATATTATAAGTGAGCCCCAAAATAAGGCTTTAGAAATTCAACGTCGAAAAGGTTGAAATTTTATAATGAAGTGCATTTTTTTTTATGTGAACTGAAAATCTTGAATAATGTTTTCTACAAACGTTTGCATTATATTAAATAGCGTTTATACGCTTCTTTATTATTATCGTAAAATCACCGCGAGATAACATTAGACTTAACTAAAGTGAAGCGTTGCGGGATTAAGCAAGTCCTTACACATAACCTGTTTAATCCCCCTTGTTACTGGGCACGTGTATCAGACTCGCAATCCTTACAGTGCTCTTTAAACCTTATACCAATTATGCAGAGTCCTCTTTTACAGGATTACTTTTAAACTTCAACTGCGATTTCGTCGTAAGATTCTAAGTACGAACGTTTTTTGTATAATAAATAGGTTAATGTTACATTTTTAAACATAGCTATATTTATTGCTATTGCTATTTACGAGAAGGATTTGGAGTAACTATATTAATACTATTATGTAGAAGACGTGTAGAATGCAACTTCTTTATATTTACTTACTTAATTTCGACCACTGAACGACTCTCACTCGTCAGTTTCAAGGTGACGCCAGATCTGACTTGAATATAAAAAATTCAATATAAAAAATGTTCTTTACTATAATCTCTTATTGTATAACACCGTCGTTATTTTCAGTTCATAACACAAGAGATTTCGCTATTAAATCCATTTATTGCAATTTACGCTAAGAAGAAAATATAGATATGTGGGCCAATGAAGAATACGAACTGATTACGCAACAACGACCATACACTACACATTTTTTTTATTAGAAAACTCTGTTAGATGCCTGTAGTCTGAGAAACTGTTCTTTATATATGCAAATTAAAATGCTGTTGGAGAGAATACTATTTATTACTTTGGTAACTTGCCAATTCAACAATGCCCCACAACCCTAAGATAAATTTTCGAATAAAATTAATTGCATACCAAATAAACATAATGAAGTGGAAAACTTTATTAACCCAACGCAAAATAAAAAAGTTGATCTACTGTTTCATTTTAAATGTGGAATTGACATAAGTTTTTCAACCAACGTTTCCAGTAATAAAACAAATTTTGAATCAGAATACAAGGAAATTTCTATTAAATGCAAACGCATATGCTTCACAATTAAGCGAAAGATTTTCTAGGATCGACTTGATCCTGTGGAAATCATACACTTTTACCGAATTATACATTCCTCTTCAATTATAAAGCAGCACATTGCTAAGCTACTCGTGTTGTAGCCCGTTTGAGCAATGAAGCAGCAACCCGAGGCAAAGGATCTATGTTACTTAATATTCGAAACATTTATAAAATTTACATACATTACAAGTTGTATGGAAAGAGACTGTCATAAAGGGAAGACTCATGCAAAGGTCTTCAGTTCCCACTGCCTACCCTGCTAGGAATTTTGCATGAAGATATATATATGGATAGATATCAATGAAATATGTTTAAAAAATCCACTTTCCCAATCCGAGCGACTACTTTTAAGCATTTTTCATTTAAGAATATATAACTAAAATAATACAACTACACATAATTATACGCCACTTACAAACACGAATCACTAAAGATATCTTAAAGAAAATGATATAGAATTACTATGATACACTAACTTATCGGGTTTTGGCTACGTTCCAATTCTCACTGTGCCACAAATCCACACAATACGACCAAGGATAGCGCAAAAAAAAGTTGAAGACTTGCAAAAGTCTCCCGTACTATATTTATTTGCGGTAGTAAATACATTTATTTACGTGCTACTGATTAATTGCATGTCAGACGTTTCCACGATACGTACTCCCGAGATCCCCCTACGTCTGTGGTTTTATAAACAAACTTATAAAAACCTTGTTTATATTAAACGTCAATAAGATAAAAGCATTCACTTTGCTTACATCAAAGTTTACAAAAACACGCCATTTGATTCGGCTGTAATCGAATTTTCACAGTCCAATGAGCAACGAATTGAAGTGAAACAAGACAATGAAGAAAAAAGATAAAGCCAAAACTAGAAAATCCTCCATAATTTAAAAGAAAAAATGACGTAGCTTAATTAGGTCATAGTCTCTGTTCAGTATAGTTTGTCATAATTTGAAATAAAATGATATAAAAAAAACTGAAAGTAAAGAAGCAACACAGGGTATGCAGTATATGTTTTGTTGTTGTATATAAAAATGAAATAAGTCTGACAAGATGTAAGCTTTTTTATGCACACGATACTTGTAGTTTATGGATGTTACATTTCCCTATAAATACGGATACTATATAAAACATTATCTTCAACGTAATAGAAAAGATATCCATTCCAAAAGCTATAACCTAGTAACTAGATTATATTGTTCGTACACACACAGACATGCTTGAATGGCTGGAATTGTATCCTATCAACCGAGAGCTGGATAGCATATATATAAATAGAGCTTTATTGCAACACATATCTGTCTCCATTTTGAACTAACCAGGGAATTATGGTGTAAACTGAGCGCAGGTCTAGTATAAGAAATGCCTTTGACAGTTTTCAATTCGTCTTTCTAGTAAATGTAAATTAATCCTTAGAATGCTACGGGCGTTATTACAATCTTGAATAAGTTAGAAGAATTTGGTAACACTATATAATCTTTAGCTTTTGTGTCGCCATTCTAAGAATGTATTGCGATTAGTTTCGTGTGTAAATTCTTTTCATTATTACTTTGCTACATTTCTTGTCTTCGAGACAAGTATTGCAAATCAGTAAATTCGTGAAAGTCATTACAGTAAATACCTATAAAATTATCGTTTAAATAATTTACGCATACGAACATTAGAAATACTTTGTCTTGAAAAACATATCGAATTAATATCTATCGATTTTTTTATCTGATCTTAATATTAAGAAAATTATATTTTTATCAAGAAAAAAAGCACTAACATACAAAATTTATTACAAGTTTTTGACGTTAAGGAATACGAAGAGCAAATAAACCTCCGATTTAATTGCTATGGATTCAAAGTTGTTTTTCTGACTTGTCTCATATTTGAATTTGTTTCATACTTTATTACTGGATTTTCCAGTGTTAATTCTGTGATACCATTATTGCAAGCATAAATTTGTATCGAGGAAATAAGAAAAAGTTTGTGATAAGATAAAATAAGTGACTGTATTGTCTTTATTCATAGAGGGTGATGATAGTCTTTATTTCATTACCAGCTACACTAATCATTCAAGTAATTATAAAATGTTATTAGTAAATTACCTGTCGCCGCAGGCGTAGGATCAGCACTAGAAATCTGCCCGTTGCTCTTCACTGCCGCCTTCTTTCTGGTTCCGGTCGATGCTGGACTCTTTGTATTCTCCCGGTCAACTCTCTATAACAAGACGTTTCCTTGATCAATATAACTGAACAGTAGCCCATTAAAACAAGTCAAGCAAGAGCAATTATACTTAATAGGTCAGATTAACTGCTCTACGTGCTTTACAGATTTCTGAAGCTCAGCAAGAAACTATTCTGTGCAAACGATTTCACAGATAAACTGTCTTCATCCGCTACTTAAGCGGTGTTGCCAAGTTTAACAATATCACAAAGTTATATTTATTATAACTTCGACGATAATATACTATACTTAACTAAACTATGACTAACTAAATCGGAAACAGAGATAACTTTTGACATATTCTTAGGTTAATTACACTTCATTTTTGCAGTTTTCCTACATAAATGACTAATTATCTAATATACTATGTAAAGAGCAGCAACGATCATAACAAAGAAATCATTAAATGTGAGTTAAGAATACAGTACTTTGGGTATTACGTCAGCGCAATTTAGATACAGAACGTGCTGTAATTTATTTCTAAGTAAGGGAGCAGCAGATAATCTCATCAAAAAGTAATTTGGGTCAATGTTTAATCTTTAGCGACTTTTTCTAACTGCTAAACGGGTGGAAACATCTAAATACGTAAGCGGGAGAGTAATCTAGTTGAACGTGAGCGTCCGAAGTAATAACATCATAGAACGTTCTTTTAAATGGAATCATTGAGTCGTGAAGCAGCAATCCACTTATTTCGGCTGACGGCAGACGATCCAGAAACCGTCGAATCATGAGTCACGCCGGTGCTGAGTCACGCGGAGCTCGCAGACGTAGCGCAGAGTCAGCGGCGGGCGCGGCGCACCTCGCAGCGCTTATTGCGCTGACTGGACAGAATCAACGAACGCCCGCTCACTGCACTAATACTGATTGATATCCGATAATGACAAGCCTATATTAGCTCTGCTTTCATTAACACTAAATTACCTTTTCCATGAATAAACGTTACTCAAATTCTTTTATCTAGCTACCATTCTTGTGTTATTACCTAATTCTAAGAATAGAATAAAGCTAAAGAACTTTATAAATGGAACATTAGAAAAATTCAGTAATTTTATCCAACACAATAGAAAGCGAAGATCTATTAACCAAAATATATTTAACGATTCCACGTAAAGTGTAAAAAATACAGTCATGATATAACGATAGTATCAATACCGTATTATTATCCATAATGGAATATGAAATTTCCAGTGAAAAACTTCCAGAAAACTGTACTATATAAGGAAAAAAGTAAACGATCCTATTTTACCGAACACGTAAAATATTGGCACAGCTGACCGTTTGTTGTCATAACATAAATTTACAGAAAAAACACGCGAACGAAGTTGGGTGGGTGTCGTGCCGGGTGAGGGCTGAACACTAAACGTCAGTGAAAAATGGGGCAGATTGGGGTAGGGGCGGCCCTGCCGGGGGGTAAAGAGGGAGGTGGGCTGCCGACAACAGTCTAGAATTAACTGTTATATGTACACATACAAACAACTGTGCTTTGACAGCAGATTTTAATTGGTAAACATGGTTATGTTTTAGGTCATATCTATTTTGATATAATTATTTGAAGAGCATGAAGTACACGACATAGTTTATTAGTAAATATCTTTCTTGTATATTAAACTTTGTAGTTTTAACACCACAATTAAAAGAATGGGTGGAAGAATTTTAAATCAATGGCAATATTTGATCAATTTTGCATTTCAATGCTACACTGGAAAATTTATGCTTAAAAATCCACTTTGTCCATATCAGAGTACCAAGGACAAAGTGCTTTTTTACCATTTTATATTATTAACAATGGACAGGTTAAAAAGGATGAATTAATGGTGCTGAATAAAGACAATGTTTACTTTACGTAAAACGTACTACAGTCTAAAACACTTACAGATTTAAAAACCCAAACGTTATATTTAAACTGTACCTATTAAGGCTTAACTTCGAAATTACATCAATTAAATTGCGTAACTGAAATAACATAATGCTCCGAAACTTTGTATATGAATAGAAAGTTTAAAGTGTTAATTAAAATTGTGAATTCGTAACGTACGCTCGTGAAACAGGGGAAAGTTTTATATGAGTCACACAATACGATTTGGTATTGACTTTGAGTTCGTGAATGTCATTATTATATCATCGAGCGTAATGATTTGAAATATTTTAGTGACATGATTTAATCAGATAGCCATCGATTTTTTGTTGGACATAACAATAACTTTAAAAGAACTATAAAATTTAAATAAAAGAAACTGATCACATTGATTATTTAAGTGATTTGTTTGTAAATAGAATTTCCTGTTATTTATTTTAGCAAAAAGCTTATTATGGTCATGACCACAGAACACGGAACACGAATGATAATAGAAAGACACCTGATAAATATAAATGTATAGATATCAGAAAAGATATCAGTGAAGATTAAATTAAAATTATTATTATCTGCAGTGCAGATGTACTAAAAACAGGTTAAGAGATACGATAACGTTATCCTGACAGTAATGATATTAAGTAACATGCGTCCATGATTGAATGTGTTTGTAAACATTAAGGAACATCAAACTGACAATTCATCAAAGACCAATCTATTTAAAAACATATAAAGTAGAATCACAATACAAAACCTTCAACTCAGAATTAACTGCCATACTGACTATAAATAACGAAAGCTGCGATGTAGAAATCGAGGCAATACAACTAGTCATTGATAATATAAATTTTGATAATGTTACTAATCAAGTGTAACAAAAACATCTAAAACAATTTGTCGGTGAGGTTAACGAGGATTGATCTGATATATTGATTTTATTTAATTAATATCTCAAACACCAGATGAACAGATCCAACACACGACTCAAAGAACAAGCGAGCTCAATCTGCGAGCTGTTCGATGATTTTTCCAAGAGGAATTTATGTATTTCTATGTCTATTTTTAATTAAATGTACTTATAAAAGTATTACTTAGACATTGTCGTGTCACACTTGAAACAACAGTGAAAGTGAAGTGGTATTACGGTGAAAGTAGCCCGTCTTGGCCTGACCTACGCAATGCGACTTCGAACTGGGCCACGGTTGGTTTGCACAAGAGCGCATACTGTGCATATCTGCTAATTGCCGATCAGTACTCGTAAATATGCGACATTTAAATAAAGAGCAAAGACTCGCATGGCCTTTAACGAACATAAAAGCTAGTTAACGTATATTTCAGTGCTTTTATTCTTAATTTCCATAAAGTCTAACCTTTTTTTAATTGGATCTCTTCTTCTCCCCGTCTCTATCAAAAGACTAAAGAATAGTCAATATGTTTTTAGTGCTTTTTCCAACAATAACTATTTTCTTCTATTTTGTTCAATGATATTAAGAAGGTATTTGGTACCTACCATCTTTTATTTGATTTCCTAACATATTATAAAAAGCATTAAACATTCCACTAAACGATATAAATTATTTGAACCTACAGCGAATCGTGTTTTCAAGGCAATCTCCGTATACGATCTCATTAAAACCGAATGGTCCGTTTTAGTATTACGAGTATGCGCATTCGCTTTATGCTGTTTCATTGACCCCTGGCATAATGGGTTTGCACCCTTTTCAATAATCCGATTCCTGTATGTAATTTCTAAAAAAATGGAATATCATCTTCCTTGTTATTATTGATAATATGATAAATTATTTATTAATTAGTATTCTGAAGATCACTTCGTTACCAGACGCAATAAAATATGGCGTTTAATCTGCACCATTTCATTAAATACAAAAAAAATAGTAATTGAATCTGAATTATTTTAATAGTAACTTTTTAATGTAATGTGATTAAAATTTATATCACTTTTTATTTGTGAATTATAAGTTTACCTAATAATATAATTTGAATGCCGTTCACAAATTTTGTCGGTTGGAATTTTTTTGTTTATACTTTTATTGGATTTGGCTTGGAAATTGTTATTGTGTCATAAATAAAATAGTAAACCGCGCCCTCGGTGAGGTAATATTTTTACGCCTTTATTTACGAAAATTTAATTAATTGAATATAAAATATTGTTTCAATTAATAGTCTGTACGTATCTTTATGAAGGTCAAATGTTATTTGTCTCATTTATGAAACATGCATAAAACCTACCAGACAAGGCTATAAACACTGCACTATTCAAAATAAATTATGACCAAAAAAATATTATTGCTTTATGTCCCACAAAAATAAAAGAAAAAAGTAAATTAATAAAACGAAAACAAATAATAAATTACGAAAAAAAGAAACGATATGGAAAATAAAAAAAATTACGTAATGAATTAAAAAAATCTCACTCATAGAGAAATGATAAAATAAACAGAGTCCAAGAACAATATTCATAATAAAAATAAGGAAAACGGAAACTTTTTACACAAGTTGTGATAGAAATTATTTAAAACACAAGACTTTTTGACAGACAAGACAGATCTACAAAGTTTTTATGATTGACTTTAAAATAAACAATGTTCAAATGTGGCTTCATTGAGATTGAAATATACACGTAATCCAAAAACCTTCGACATAAGTTACTAGCAGTAAAGCGACAGATAGACACAATGGGAAATTTGTTATTTGAAACAAGAATTTTAGACTAAAACAAGCACATTCACAACACATACAAGAATATCATAGATAAAAAGTTCATCAACTAAACGGCAAAACAATTTTTTATAATAATAAAAATTAATGATAATTATAATATAATTTGTACCTATTGCTGCTAATCTAACTATAGACTTCATTAATATATAATATAATAAGATACCACTGAGGTATAATCAAACTCCGTATTACTCTTAGAACTAAATTGGACATACCATCATAATTGCTCTAATATAAATTGGTCCGGAGCAATCTCTACGAAGTTTGCAACCGTAGAAGTAATTAATGTTATATGAGTAAAGCAGTTTACACACATGAGAATGTAGGAAAGGATATTTCCTTTCCTTACATTTGATTTAACATCGAAATAGTTTTTCGAATGGTATATTATTTTTTATTT